ACTCTACCCCCTCCCAGTTCTGTATGCACAAATAAGTCTTTAAAAAGAATACTTAAGCCAGACCTCAGGCTCCTTGACTATATGAATCTTCAAATTAAAGTGTTGAATTGGATGCTAAGAAGCCAATCATGAGTTTTCTGTGAGGGCTGCAGCCTGACCTTGGCAGGGGCTCAAAGTAGAGGCTGATGTTCGCCGGAAGACTTTGGGCCAACTTTTTGGTGCTCTGGACTTGAAAGCAGGCCCTCCAGGCAAGGTAGCAACAGTTGCTGGAATTCCCAGTGCATCTTTACAGACCCACTGGCAATAGCTGTGACCCACCCCCACACCACACCCCCGCTTAGTTTGTCTTGAATTTTGGGCCATCAGCTTCGAAGAATAGATCTGGTCATCATGTACTTTCAGGGGGCAACATGGAGTGTGCAAATCTTCACTCTTTGAGGAATCTCCCAAAAGAGAGTCTTCTCTCAGCCTCTGACTCTCAATTACTTCATTCTTTAAGGGCTGCTGCTTCTTCACCAGGTCAAGGCTCTGCCATTGACAAGGGAATAGCAGCACACAGAGGCCGAAATTTGGCCCAGGGGGCTATAGCTGAGTCTGAGTTCTGGTTCCCACATTCACTGTGACACTTAAGATTATTTTCTTTATCTTGCTCAGATAGCAATTTATAGCAATTAAATGATTCAACACATAGGAAATATCCATGACATAGTCAAAGTAGAAGGCCAATGCATGTCATTTCTTACTATCATCAACAATCCAGGTGCTAGCTCCTAGACCTGTATGTGTCTTATTACCTAGATGACAGATGCAGCAGGCACTGAGAACCAGCTCTCTCATCTTTATCCTCATCAGCTCTCCATCCCCTGGACGTACTGATTCCTTTCCCACATCCTTTCCTTTCCTTTATTGTCCTTCACAACTGGCTGGTTTATTCATGTAGTATTTTTTTACCAAATGGCTGTAGAAAAAGTCAAGATCAAGCCCAGTCTCTTTATTGAAACTTGAACAGAGCAAAGGAGAACCACGGAAGCAGCCCAACAGGAGTGCTGCAAAAGACCATTGCATGTGATCAGAAGGAGGGCCTGGCTTCTCCACAAACTAATGAATGAGTCAGTGAACCATCACTTCAAATTTGTGGAGCTAAATTTCTGCATACCTCACCCTCCTCAGACCTGATATTTAACCAGCAACCAGGTTGCAATGGACCATGAAGGAATCTGCCAAAAACACAGAACCTTTCTATTGACTCGAGACAGGGTAATTATTGGCAACCTAATTTCTCCAGTCTTTATCAGTTTACAGCAGTTATGAGGTTGTCTCAACAACCATCATAGTTAAGATGTCACTGCAGCTCCTAACTCAGGGCCTCTGGTCTTCTGCGAGGCCTCGATTCTGTAACTCTAGTAGTAGGAGCGCAAATTGATTGTCTCACAGGGTCTATGAAAAAGTGCACTTCAGTACAGGGATGTCATCAGATGTTCTCTAAGAATCACTAACTGTTACCCACTGACCTCCAGTACACTGCTCTCTGGGCATCACTATCAATATATCAAATTTTCCCTCAGTGCTAAGTCAGGGCTGGCTTGCATGATAACATGGGAGGACTCTAATGACTGCAGAACTTGAATCAGACAAATCCTTAAGCAGCAGTGCCTAAAACCCAAGTCCTACACAAAAACAGCGTGATCTATTTCTGTCAGCTGCTCTTACCCCACAAGCACAGACTAAGGAGCTCTGTCTCACTCCATCCTGCCCCAGAGATGCACTGTGCAGATAATTTCCTTTATGCAGACATCTTACCTTCCTAAAACCAATGCACTCCACATTCAGATAATCATGACTCTCATTTTTAAGATCCTCTCGTAAACGAGTGAATTCAAAGTTCTCAATATTGAGAAGCTTGTTTGATCTTAAATCTCACTATTTTCTAGAAGCATCCAGGGTGCGTCTATATACAGTAGATGGGGAGCATGTGGAGTAACTAATGCCTAGTTCATCTTAACAATCAGGGGGCAACAAAATAACCTCCTTTCAGCATTTTATTAACAAACAGTGTGCCTGGGACTGAGAAAACAAGTTGAAACACAATATGGTACCTTCCCTAACAGAAGGATGTCGTGGTAACAGACACTGGCTTGGGATTCTAAATCATACTAAAGCCATCAAGGAAGAAAATTTCAAAAGGGAATTTTCAGGGGAATTAATTTTTTGGGGTTTTGTTTTTGAGGATTAAAGGAATTTTTTCGGCAACCAAAAATAAGGTGGAAAAGAAAGCATGGGAAAGAAAGAAATGAACAAGTGTAGTTTTGGAAACTAAGAAAGGTAGCCATTCTTTATCACACCCTGTTACCAGAACAGGGCTGAAGCAGAAGGAAGGCTTTCCTAGCTTCCTCAAACATTCCTTCTGCAGAATAACAATTAAAATTGTTATCGGTTAATGATTATCATGAATCAGCATTGAGCATTCAGTAAAATGGAGGGTGATGTCTTAGAAGTGTTCCTTAATTCTTAAAATAAAATAAAACGCAAAGATAAAAAATTCTTTATTGTAAACCACAAAAATGCTTGTCCACCAAGACTGGAATGGCCTGTAGACACAGCCAGGATGGTGGGAAGAGGGGATGGTCATCACTTCCTCAGAAAACTCTTACCTGGTGCCAGACGAGTTCAGGCTCCATTTGTATGTGTTCATTAGAATCCTGTACTTTTCCCTTTTTCTCCAGGAAAAATGTGGGAGGGAGGCGGGGGAAGGGGATGTTTAATTAATCTTGGTCTCTCTCATCAGGCTCTAAATTCCAAGAGAACAGACTTATCTGTGTTTTCTCCCTGCTGCATCATTAGTAATGCCTGGCACAGAATAGATTGTTGATGAAGATTATCACAACTCCTGAGCTTACTCTGACTATTAGAACTTTGTCTCCATCAAACAATTAGGACCTTTTGCATTGGGTTGGCCATTCTGGCCTGGGAAAATGAGCAATGAAGAGTCACAGAGCACAGCGAGCACCCTGCAGCCAAAGACCCAGGGAGAGTATGTCATTTAAAACTGAAGCTTTCAACTGATGCCCAGGATGGAAAGAGTGATGGGTTCTTTCCAAAGGACTTGAGCTAAGGAAAACCTGCAGGAACAGAGACATAATCACAGGGTTTGGTACAAAACGAAAACACAGGATCCCGACTTCAGGGCCCTGAGTGATCTGAATAAGTCACCCATGAAGTTGACCTTGCAAGTATTTACAGTTAATCAAGAAAATCCGATCATAAGATCATAAGATAACAATTTTCTAATAAATTCGAAGGAAAGAGACTTGCATTCTTGAAAAAAAAAATAAGGCATTTAAATATCCCAATGTATTTCCTTTCCCTGCCCAATGAAGCTGCTTCTTCAAAGCGTACTGGGTACTCGCCCCTTTAGAACACCGTTGTCTCTTGAAGTTTCCAAACGACCTGCTGAAGCCACTGGTACCGCTTGTGGCAGAGCAACAGCCACTTGCTCTCCAACTCGGAAGATCTGGCCTATTTTTGAGGTTCCACAGTCCCAAAGCCTGAATTCGGAAGCTAAAATTGGTTTCAATCCCAGGCCCACCGTTTGCAGCTATGCACAAAGCCTATCACTTAGCCTCCAAACGCTTCAGTTTCCTCATCTATAAAATGGATGTAATCAAGTAAGTGTAAAGAGCTTAGCGCATAAAAGCACAAGAAGAGGGCACATATACAGCGCAGTATCTTTGATCCAGAGCTGCACGCC